TTTATTGTAGTGCAATGAGGCACCCTGGCCATTGTTGGCTGCTATGTCTCTCCTAATAGGACCCTTGCCGACTACAAGGCGTACTTAGACGAGGTAGAGGAACTGTGTTCACGAATGTCAAACTCGTGATTTTATCGCCCACACAAGGGCTTGGGGAAACTCTCGAATACGATCCAAAGGGTTAGACAATGATGGTATGGGCTGCAGGGCTGGACTAATGAATCAAGCATCTGTAAGCACATGTGTGTGGTGGCAGGAGAAGTCCAATGTGGATCTCATTTAGGTAATTCCTCCTGCAGTACAAATGCTGTCGGACTGGCGAGTGGTGGAGGAGGCGGTCACATTGTCTGACCACCGCCACATCATATTCGATATCGCACTTCGACAGCCCGACCATAACCCCAGTTGCCGTAACAGCAGCCGACTGCGACGTTGGTGTCTCAAACAGCTCGACAGATACAACCTCAAAGCCACCACTATCGTCACGTCCTAGCCATAAAATGCCGAAGTGGTTCAGTCCGATCCTGAAGTGGAAGCGAATTGGTATCGAGGTACGATGGCGCAAATTTGCGGCCTCTCAATGCCCAGAACCAGTCGTCCCAAGCGCAGTGCAGTGTACTGGTGCGCAACAAAACTCGCACAGCTTCGTGCGCTCCGCTTGCGGTGTCGGCGCCAGTACACTAGAGCCCAAAAGAGAAGTAGGCGCAACAAAGACGTAACAAAGGCGCTACAAATAGCTATTACCAATGCCAGGTCTTAGTCCTGAAAAGAGCTTCTGGAGGAACTCGCTAAATCACTAGATCACTGGTCCATACAGGATGATGCTAAGCAAACTCCAGTCCTGGTAGCCCTCAAAATCAAAACAAATTTTTCATTATTTAGATAAATTTTTGTTATTATTTCTTGTTAATAAATTGAGGAAATGTGAGTTTGTTAACTAAATAGGTCGGCGAAAACTTTTTTTCGTATTTTGTTTTTATAAAATAGGAGAAAAATCTTTTTGGTTTTACTGTTTGTATCTGGCTGTCAGTTTTAACACCAGGATATATACAATAAGGATATTAAGAAAAAGAAAAAACTTTCCCGCCATTTTAATTTGTGTTTCTGTCCGGCAAAATGAGTGAATTTCACGAAGAAATTCGATATATTCTGAAGTTTTATTACAAAAAAAGGGAAAAATACGACTCAAGCCGCAACAAAATGTGTGACATTTATGGACCTAATGCAGTGTCAGTATGAGTAGTATAAAGTTGCTTGAAGTGTTTTCATTCCAGGAGTTTTGATGTCAAAAATCAGGCTCGCTCTGATTGACGTTTGCATTCAATGCATTTAATTCCCTACCCTTGGACGTAATCAGTACAGCACTGGCACATCATCAGGTGCCTCCCTACCTGCAAGGTACTATCGGGGACTTCTGGGCGGGAAGGAGAGAGAGAAAATCCTGCTCGAAGACACGAAGACATTTTCAAAGCACGGCCCTCCGCTTGAAAACGGTGTTCCCCTACTAGAAACGGGGCCTCCTGGGTTGCTGACGCTCGCAGAGGAGGACGATGACTCGGAAGTGGTCTTGAGACATCGTGGTAGCACTGCGAGGATGCTGGCAGCAAGTATTGCCCCAAAACATTCTATCAGTAGCAAAACGATGGAGGGGCTCCGGTTGCATTCCAAAAGGAGATCCCGGGACCCCCCGTATACGCTGATGGTGACCACCGTCGGTTTTCAGCCGGTAAGAGTTCTGCATAACTTCGTTTCCCCCACAACAAAGCTATCCATGAGGATTCCCCTAGGAAAAAAAGGTGACAACTCTGGAGCACACATCCTCAGCACAATTCCGCCCAGCCGACTCGACTTGTGGATATCCATGCAGACGATTGCTTTGAGTATTGAGCACTGTGGGAAACCTGAGCAGCCACGCTAAGGAAGAGGAGAGTATCTTGAGCGTGGATGCTCAGTGAGGGATTTTCCATAGTCAGGGTTATTAGTACCCTCCTGGGGTAGTCTTTTATTTTTAAATTCTTCTAACATGTTACGGGGGAGGGTTGATTGGGACTCCGGCCACCTGCACTAACCAAGCGAAACGCAAAAGAAAAGCTTTTACTTTGCGATGGAATGCTGTGACTTTTTTACGTAAAACCTTGATGCGTGACAGATCCATATCGCAGCTATATTATAGTCGTAGCATGAATGGATCGGCTCGACTATGGAAGGACCTCTCTCACAGAATATCGAAATAAAATAGCAGCTTTATGTTGCAGTGCTTCGTGGAGAGAGTGAGAGAGTTTTACGAGGAACAAGGCATTGCATCTTAGGTGACAACGCATTTACACTTTGATTCTTATAATATAAAAGAATACAACAAAGGTTACAGCAAAACTTATTGAAAGTGAAAGTATTTAAGCTTTTATGCTTTTAACACTGGATCTCAAAAAAACTCTTTCCTGGAAAGAACCAGCAAGAAACCTAGCGGGACTCTATCTTTAAACATTAAATATCAATATAATATGCTGTCGAACTAAATATAAAAATATTTACCCTGTCGAGGATGTCTATTTACCACAGCATCCCCTTACCATCAGGTGGACTATATGTTCATTTGTCACCGTCATTATATAAAATCTTATATAACTCTGCGGCATTTTCAATTTTTGTTACAAATTAAAGGCCATATAGGTACATATTATTAGGCCTATGCGTGCGATGGACATTCCCTTGCCCTAAAACTGTATCCGAAATGAGAGGAAGCATGTGCCCAGCATTAGGACGTGTAAAGGCTCTAACTATAAATATATCTATAACTTTTAAAATAACTGTACCATTTAAAAATAAACTTGGCGTGTAGATGTTTTGCTGACCGTTTACTTACTTGAATGTGGACGAAATAAGTTTACAACTTGTGGTACACTGCGCTTAGTTTTCAGCACTCGCTTGAACTATTTTCTTCTAGAACTTTTACGAAATGCGGGCTCTTAAAATAAATTAATGGCAGTATTGAAATAGAAATCAGTAGAGCAAGGGTCATTCGACTGCAAAGTAATATAGTACAGGTTTTCAGTTTTACCGTATATGAGTACTTTTTGATACGGTTTACGTGATATCTTCGCCTATTGTGAAGCACGTATTTTAATAATTATTTTCTAATATTTAGGCTAAATTCCAAGGAAATGTTTGAACACTAGCAGTGGAAATATAGGGGATGAAGTTACTAATGTAACTGCTTAGACGACATTCCAATAATAATATTGAGCTTGTAATATTTCTGGAGTGGACTACTTAAAAGGGTGAAAAAAACTTTAAATTAAAAATAAAATCGACTTTTATAAAATAAAAAGAATAAAATATGATTAAAACTACTTTTACGGATTTTATCGCGTTTGTTTTTGCGTAGTGTTCGCGTAAATATAAGAAATCATTAAGAATAAAATAGTTTCCACATAAAATAACTTCTGGAGTCGGCAGACCATAATTCTGAAATACAATATGCATTGGCATTCATTAAATTCATTCTTTTAATTGTTTTGAATTATTTATTTTTATAAGAAGACTTTTTAAAAACTTTTACCTCATATGGAAATAGCTCTTCAGATACACAAGATTTGTGGCAGTGGCATAACTGCCAAATATGACGACCGCAGTAACAAATAACTCTTGCAATTTTAAATTTAATTAACTAGGTATAAACGATACTTTCCACTGACAAATTGATTTTGAAAGGTTTATACGTTTTCTTTTAAATATAAATATATTAATATCTGAATGAGTTCACATCTGAATTATGAATATATCTGAATTAGTTCATCTTTACAGCCTATCAATATTTCACTGCTGAACAAAGGTCTCCCTCATAAATAACCTCATTTAAGGAATATTTACCATAGCTGCCACACTTGCCAAGCAGATTTGGACTATTTCGATCTGGATTTTTTATCAGTTTCATTTACATCTGTCAAATCCTATGATATTCACGGATTTGGAGGCAGATCTTCTTACGTCGACATTACATTGCAACAATCGCGGGATACATAATTAGCTGTGCGGATGAGTTGGTGAGCATACAGCCCTTGCACAATATTGCTCAACATCACTCCTTTTATAAGCCTTTCTCTCTGTAGCGATGATTTGTAATCCTCAAGCTTGTATAAAGGGTTGGAGATAGTAGTAAAAGACGTCTTGCACTTTTGACTATGCTTCTAATCTATGGCTAGATATTTAAAGTGTGGATCAACTTTTGTGACAACCACGCGATGAAATCGGGTGATAGTTTCTTCCATACGGACACCACACGGCAATATTCAGTCTGTGATTATGAGGTTATAGTTTATGTACCGAATTTTTCAATAATCGTTAGCAACTTCTTAAAAAAGAGTTAAAGGGTACAATTACAGTTTTGGCAAAGGAATGACGAAAAAGAAACGAGAAATTTCACAGCTCGGTAGCAAAGTAGCCACTTTAGTTGCAAGCATTTAGCTGCGGCGTTACAGCCTCGGGTTTGAATACCGCATGGTACAAGTATTTGTGTAGGTAGTTTGTAAGTAAAGTTACAGTCTGATTTTTATATTTCACAGCTTTATTGTCAAAGCCATGATATTACAATTTCACTAATGGTATTATAATTGAAAGGTAGATTATCAATCGATTTCATTTCTTACAATATAACGGTCTGGTTTTAGTGACATTGTAATTTCACGGGGACACTATAGTGATATTGTAAGGCAGTGATATTTAGACAATTTCAAGGGTCGTTAGATTATGAGGCCGTCTCTGATTGGTCCGTTTCCAATATTAATTTTGTAATTATAAGTTATAAATAAATAGACACGTTTAGAAATAACAAACTTTACTATAATACTATAAAGAGTAATAAGTCATGTAGTATGAAATATTATGACAAAATTGCAGAATATTCTACCTATTTTTGCAATCTGCATCTTTGTGGCATTTGGAGTTGCATAAGACCTTACTTTTTACATGCGAATATGTTGGTTGTATATTGAACTTTAGATTTACTGCAGTTGCACATCTTCCGACAATCCCTGTCCACCGAATCGCGAAGAACCAGATAATATACTTCTTAATGGTAAGATTTTATTAGGGATATCATCATTTAACTTTGCTCCTGGGGAGGGCTGTATAGCATTTTTTGCCAGCCAGTCTTTAATAACACCGGCTGAAGTACCCACACGATAAAATCCATTATTTTCTATGGCGTATCCGTTTATCTATGGCTTTTGCTACAAGATTTTTGCTGTCTAACGGTCCTCTATCAACTTTCGAAACCTTGACTAATACAGTAGCATTAATGTCGATTTCTTTAAATTTTCTGGACGAATTTTCCATCATTTTTTCTGCTGCCCTTTTCAAATTATTATAAGATTTTGTTCGTTGCTCAATAATTGACTGCTCTTGTTCACATAAAGTACACAATACCTGAGACGCATAACCTTCATCTCCATTCGAAATGCCGCAAATGGCATTTTTATATTTACATTTTGTTTACATTTATGACATGTGTGAGCCTCAGTAGTTTCTTTGTTACAAATATGGCATATCAATTTGGTTTTTTCAATTATATTCGGATGTGGAATAAGCACTTTATCTTCCAAAACAATGATGGAATTGGAATTGTGTCTGTTCAAATTAAAATTGTCCGTTACATGATCATTTCTGTCACTAGTAACCATAAACGGCTCTTGAAGTTCAATAACGTTCAAAGATGGAGCAGTTGTTATATCTTGAGATTTTATGGTTATAGTATCGGTATTTTAAACTTGGTTTTGAATTTCAATCGCTATATTCTCTTTGTCTACACCTATAAAAATGGTATTTTTATATTTTCGCGGTCCCCTCGTTTTTTTGCTAGAAAATCGAAAAATCATTGTATTTCGATGATTTTTTTTAAATATTCGTTTTTATGGCGGAATTATGAAAATTATGAAAAGAAATATGCAAGATATCTCACCCCCGACACCACTTCAAAAAATTCCTCCACCACCACTTTGAAAAATTCGCCATAAAATGAAGATTAAAAAAAATCATCGAAATAAAATGATTTTTCGATTTTCTAGAAAAAAAAACGAGGGGACTGCGACTGTATAAAATTACCAAAAACATAGATGTATCTGTAATATGAACACTGCTTCAGTTAGGAAAAAATTTTGACGGTAATTATATTCTTACAATAAATTTTATTGTTTTCATGAATCTCTAAGTGCTGTTTCAATTGTGTAATGGTTTTGGCTTGTAAATGCTCTTGTTCGCGAGATATGTTGTTATTTTCGTCTCTCGTCTTAAATGGTTTTCTAATACTGCTACGGTTCGGACTCGTGAAGCTTCTGAAGTTGCGTCACTGTGTTTCTTCGCATCTATATTATAATATTCAAAATCCTCTAATTTCTTGCTGTGTGGAAAAAGAACAAACCTAACCTAAGATTTTATAATCTTCATGTATTTTTCATGAAGATTATAAAATCTTACCATTGTCATTTCCTGTAATGTCCCAAAGCTATTTCTAAATCTTCTTCGTTTGCTAGTCTATCGATTATATATTGTTTAGTAAATGAGTGAAAGGAAACCCTATTGTAGGTTCATGTCCAAACAATGCTTTGTAATGCGTTCTACCAATTATACTATGCAATGACGTATTTTTCCGGAATTCCACAAAATAACAGCCAACGGACCAGTTTGTTGAATCTTTGAGTTTGTTGAATCTTTCATCCAGGCTCTCAGCATGTTTTTGACGTCCTAGTTGCAGCGTTCAACGCTGCTTAGCTAGCCTGGCTTTGTGGATATCGTGCCCTCCCATTAAAAATTTTGCAGTTAGGCCATAAGCTCATTATTTCTTTAATCACATTTGCGGTAAACTTACGTTCATTATCGCTTTGTAAAATATGTGGAAATCCATTTTCTAAACATATTTTCAAGAGCGCGAAAGTTATCTGTGATGCACGTTTGGATTTTAAAGGTCGTAAGAAACAGAACTTGGTCAAATGGTCTTGGTAATTTAATTACCATTTGAAATCAGCATCTGGAGAAGACTGGAGGTCTATGAGATCCATTTGCCCCTCTTGTTAAAATCCTTTGTCACTAAAGGTCGGACGATAATACCTGATCTCGGGAAACTTCTCTTGGTCATGCAAGTTTTCGATAAATTCACGAATAGTTTTATTGAAAACTGCGGCACTATTTTCTTTTCATTAAGAACTTGATCAAATGGTCCTGGTCAAGGTCCACATATTATTTTATTGCCCACCGTGGCCTGTAGCTAAATATAGCCTGTAGCTAAATGTTATAATATTTTTCGCTGGGAATAAATTCTGTCACATGAGAAGAAACAGTTTAGGGCTTCATAATAAAAATTTTTCCTTTCCCACGTCCAAAACATCATATTTTGATGCATAGTGGTTAGTAGTCTTAAGCTTTTGTATTTTCTTGATTTTTATTCTTCTATTGAATTCATTACTTGCTAAATCCTGCTTATACTCCATTCCAGTTTTCTTATTTTATCAGATAGCTCACTGTAATATTTTCGAAACTCTATATAAAATCTACTCGTGCCACAATCTCACGCTGTTGCAGTTGGTATTGATGAATCTGTTGAAGTTTCAATCACTTCCAAATGTTCACTGCCGTACATTTTGAAAAAAAAAATCGTAAAAAGTGTTAACCAAAATACTATTTGAACAATATTTTAGATAGACAATTGCACATACGCTCCAATGGTTACTATTGTTGTTTTGCAAATGACGAATGAAAAAGAATTGACCAATCAAAACGTTTAACCTCTCCTACTGCCAATTTCATGCGTGATATACCTAGATTTATTATAATACCACTATAGTGTCCCCGTGATACTACAATGTCACTAAAACCAGGCCGTTATATTGTAAGAAATGAAGTCGATTGATAATCCACCGTTCAATTATAATATAACTAATGAAAGTGTAATATCACGGCTTTGACAATATACCTGCGACATATACATCCCACTGCTGGGCACAGGTCACCTATCATAACTGTGAGGGTTTTAGGGCTATCAAATTGTTTGCCATTCTGCCCCAACGCGTGTTGGCAGATTTCAAACCATGTCTTCGAATTTTTGTTTATTTCGCTGACATGCGTATGTCTACACAATATTTTCCTTCATTTTGGGCGAGCTAGCGATGTGGTCAGCACTCATAATGAAAGATGAATTAAAATGAAATTAAGGTTGGAGTTAATTGCATGCTGCGAAAGTGTTTGTTTACACGTGTTATTAATATTTGTAGGAACGCCTCCACGACATAAGAGAAAACCCTAGTGTAGTGGTAATGGTTTTTTAAATGATAAGAATGAACGACACTAAGTTTTTTTTTGTGTTATAGAATTTAATTATTAACATGCAGATGCGTTATTATTACTGAAGACTAAGATGGAATGCCTCGCTTCCAATAAAAAGGGTATTCTGTGAGAGCGTGGTCCTACCAAGGTTGAACCGACCTATTCGTGATAAAACCATACTACACCGTAGCTGCAGTGTGGTTCTACCACGTAAGAAACGTATATTATTAATATTTTTCATTATAATTTTTATTTTCAGTCTATTGACCTCACCATCAACACATCAAGTATTTTGTGTGCTAGTTTGATACACTTATTCCTATGAAAATGTCATTTATGAATGCTATTTTTTGAATAGCGATACTGTAATGAGAAAATAAAAAAGCAGATTTTCTTTCATTATTTCACTCTGAAAACGGATCACAACGGCCTATCAAACTGTACAGTTTCAATAATGATCTGCGTCGACGGATTTGAAATAAAAGTTTTTTTTTCATTGTGATTTTAATATAGTTGAAAATATTCGAAAGGAAGCAAAAATGGCAGGATTTTTATTAATACAGAATAGAACTGAACAATTTTTATTCATTATAAATAAATATCATTGACAGTTATTTTACCATTACATGCTACTAATAAAACGTCTGTCCTGTGATAAATAAACCTAGCGGCATATCGTCGGTCATCGCGGTCAAAGTAAAATGAAACAATGAAAAACATAGAATGTAAAAAGAATTCATTTTTTATTAATTGGTTACACCACTTGGAGGTATTAAAAATTCACTTCTGCGCATATACTTCACGCATAGATTGCCATTATATTGACATATTTTGAGTTATTTGTCCAACTCGACTCACGATAATGTCTCGTTTGCATTCTGCAAACTGCCTCCGTGTTTGGCACTATAGGTCGGCCTTTAGTTTGGCATTCTATTCTTGGGGTCGGGTTTGCTTCTAGCAGGACGATCCAAGCGCCGTTGCTGATTTTGTTGCTGATGTGGTACTTTTGGCTTATTCAGGTAGCATCGGAATCTTTAGCGTCGACATATCAAATAATATACAGTTTCGTGGTCACTTGGAAAGGAAGGCGAAATTTCCCTATAAAAAACTTGGCTTGCTTAGCATAGCGGGACAGTATTTCAAACCGACACACCAGTTGCAACTTCACAAGGCACTAGTTCGGCCTCACATAAAACACTGTTTTCATCTCTGGGCCGAGGCAACACAGTGCCAGCTCCTTCGACTTGACCACCTCCAGCGTAGAGTGGCTCGAATCGGCAACGACCGAGTTTTTTTCTAATAAGCTCGATTCACTGGCACTGCGAATTTCCTTTGCATCCTTTTGCATTTTCTATCGCATCTATCACGGAGAGTGCTCTGAATAATTGCTCGTATTAATTCCAGCTGACAAATTTCATGAACACACATCGCGTCAAAACTCACAATACCATCCACACTATCTGGATGCATGGCAAACCACCACTGTGCGTTTTACTAGGAGCTTTTTATTCCTCCTACAACTTCTCTGTGGAATTATTTACCACCGGCAATATTACCCGACCGATACGCATTAGGAACCTTCAAAAAGGAACTTACTCCCTTCTGAAAGGCCCGCAATACTTTTACTTCTAAAACATTCTCCTTGAACAATCGCAAGCCATTTAATGAATGGGCGATAGTAGGAGTCCATAAGAGTAGACAAAGGTTATATGAACTTTACAATGAAAGGTCATATAATCCTAGCGTCAAATTTAGGGGATATGTAAAAAATATTCCAAAATATTTAACCTCGTAAAGCCCAAGGTGTGAACAACTAGATGAGCTAAACGCCCAATGTGCAATACAATGCACAATATCTTGTTATACCGTTGCGGCCCACGCAAACAAAACGATTTTTTTTTGTGATAACCCCAACTAGAATTTTTTGTATAATTTTTCTGGGTATTATATTGTAGTAAAGAATAGAATAAAACTATTTTTGAGTTCTTAGCTCGTTGTTCATTCAAATGTACATTGGGAGTTTATGAGAACTAAAATTATTAATAAAATAAACTTTGTAGAATATACGTAATTCTCTATTATCACAATAACTGTATCGATGTGTCAAAATTTATTTTGAACATATCAATATAACTAAAATTATGAATCTTGGCAACAATGAAACTAACAACAAAACACTTATAACAAATCAACAAAAAAAAATTACTTAACATTAAGATAAAACCAAAATCTTAATGTCCATCCACTAACCATTTTCACGCTGACTCTTCACTGTTATGGAAGTCGCTATAACAGTTTCTTACTTTTGTAAGGCATAAGTTGACACCGCAGGCTCTACATTTGAACTGAGTTCTATTGTAATGGCAGTGACGGCATCTACCCACCTTTTCCGCTAAAAAGGGTAAATGTTTAGCTCCGACCGTACGGAACTTTTTGCTTGGGACAGGAATGAATGCAATGCTCCTCTTTCTTTTCAATGAGGGTCGGTTAGTACTATCCCCGTCAGAAACAGTCAAAAGTGATGGTTCAGCATTTGATTCAATAAAAGTCTCTCCCAATTCCATCTTAAAAGCTCGCAACTGTTGTATTTTCTTTACAGGTACAAGAGATTTTATCTGATCCTTTTTATACTGAAGCCAAGAGTTGTTGATTGCTAAATCAATCATAGATGAAAAGAACCGTTGTGTCCACTTTCTGGTCCTATATCTATACGGACACACTGCCAAAAGGCGGTCTGCAAGATCCACTCCTCCCATTTTCTGATTATACTCTCTCACTACTCGTGGTCGCGGGATGGTCACGTAAACTTTATTTTTTTTACACCACCGTCGACAATTATCAACTTCATCCTTTGCCTCCACAGAAGATAAAAGCAAAACCGGTTTATTATCGTACCATTTTGTGAAGGCTAATTTACCATCATTCCGGACTAAAACTTGACTGCTTCCTCGTCCTTGAGTCATTAATTCTTTGTCATCAATCAGTAACGAGCGTACATCAGCAGGAATCCGATTTTTCATAATAGTTCCCGTCCCTCTAATTCCTTTTATTTCCAGGGCGTCCAATAACTTCTCGGAAGTGAAGTATCTGTCGAAGTAAATTACGTGTCCAGGTACCAAAGGCTCTGTCAGAGTAAGGACAGCCTTTTCACCTAGTCCAAAATGTTCGTAGTTGGCATAGGTAGTTTTTCCTTGATATATATGAAAATCACATACAATACCGTCTGGGTTGGCTAATACAAATGCTTTTAAGCCAACCGGATTAGGCTTACCTGGACAGTACTGCTTGATCGCGCAAGATCCGGTAAATGGGATGATCATCTCATCTAATGAAAGGCACTGATCTTTCTGTTGAGTTTGACATCCAGCCTGAATTCGATTGATTAGGGGACGCATCTTCCATAATTTGTCCTTATCTTTCATTGCGGGGGTAACTTCAGTGTCGAAAACCACTTTCAAAGAATTTCTCAGCAAGAAAAATCGGTTTCTGGACATATTATCAGCAATGAGGGGTACTCTCCATTTAGCCTCCCAATACATCCGTAAATTAGGGTAATTGATAGCCGCCATCAAAAATGATATTCCTAAGTAAATGTAAAGTTCTTTATTTGTTAAGTTCAAACTACGTCCTGTTTTTTCTACTGCAGTTTGATTAGTTTTCGTTACTATGAGATTAATAAGCTGATCATCTATGTATTGTTTCACATAGTCAGTCTTATCAAACCCTACCGTGTCAGTCCACAAATATGCTGGTTGCATCAATTCAGGAAAACGAGGGTGGAAATCTTTAACACTCCAATTACCTGAAGATGTTGTTCCGCGCTCCGAAGGAAAGGAGAGAAGAGGAGAAGCTTGATGGTTTGCTCTGCCTCCACCCCTTACTCGTCCTTTTCCACGCTTTCTTCCACGTCGTCTTCTTTTCTTTTGGGAGTTTTCCTTATCACTTTCAGGTTCGGAGGAAGAATCTCCCGAGTATGATGTTGAAGGTATAGATACACTTACGTGGTGAATTGACCACTCGGGGTCACCTACGTCTACGTCAGATGGAATGAAATCTTCAATTTCTGAAGATTCCAATAACTCCTCGATTTCTTTATCGTCGAGATCTAGAATCAAAAAATTGCAATTGATAACATAAACCCAATACCACAACACACCATAATATGTAACAATACAATAAAACCCAATGTGCAACAAAATGAACATCAGTTTTTGTAAAATAATATAAAATACAAATTGAGTTCTTTGAAACAAAAAAATAATTGTTTCATGAAAATAATATGTTAATTCTCAATTTTATTTTATTTTCATAAAAAAATAGTATCAGATTGTATAAATTAATTAAGATTTATACTCACGTGTATGCAGAATCGGCGGCATGCTTGCAAAAATGATTGAATTTGACAGATTGTCTATGTATTTATCCCAAATGTCATGTGTCAAATTTTGTTCTAGTGAGTTATCAGGTCACCTCGTACACAGAAGTTTACGGTTGGCGCGAAAATTAAAAAGCAAAATGCATACAAGTATAATGTACATTGTATTGTACATTGTGCGTTTAGGAGAAGATTGGTTTTAAAAGTCTGGGCTGTAATTATATACGTTATTTTGTACAATAAATTGTACAGTGGGCCTTACGAGGTTAAAAGAGTGTGCTCCTTAGCCAAGTCATTGTATTTGAGCAACAAAATAAAGACTGCTTCTAATAAAATTAAAATGACATGGAGTATAATTAATAGTGAAACTGTTAAGGTCAACTCTCGCAATTCAAACTACCGTTTAAGTTTTAACAATAAATTAACTAAATAAGATCAGAATGTTGCAATGGTTTTTGAGAAATATTTTACTGATAATCCGATCTTAACCACTAATCACTGAATTCTTCTCCTGCCGTCGCAGAATCATTACTTAAACAAAATGTAAATGTGTGTACAAGAATTTTACATTTCATAAAGTGTCATTTTTTTTTTTTTTTTTTTTATAGAAGAGGGGGCAAACGAGCATGTGGCTCACCTGATGTTAAGTGACTACCGCCGCCCATGATCAACCGCAACACCAGGGGAATTGCAGGTGCGTTGCCGGCCCTTTAGAAAGGAGTAAGCTCTTTTCTTGAAGGTCCCCAGGTCGTATCGGTCCGGAAAAATCACCGGTGGTAAATTATTCCACAGAGAGGTTGTACGCGGAAGAAAACTCCTTTTGAAACGTACAGTGGTGGACCGCCAAGCATCCAGATGGTGTGGATGGTATCGGGACGTTTGCCGTGTAGTGCGTTCACGAAATTTGGCGGCTGGGATTAATCCGAACAATTCCTCAGAGCACTCCCCGTGATAGATGCGATAAAATACGCAAAGAGATGCAACATCTCTTCGCAGCGCCAGTGAATCGAGCCGATCGGAAAGCACTCGGTCGTCGACGATTCGAGCCGCTCTGCGCTGGATGCGGTCAAGTGGAAGGAGCTGGTACTGGGGAGCCCCAGCCCAGAGATGGGAACAGTATTCCATGAGCGGCCGAACCTGCGCCTTGTAAAGTTGCAGGCGGTGTGCCGGCATGAAATACTGTCCCGCTCTGCTGAGCACACCAAGCTTTTTAGAGGCCAATTTGGCCTTCCCTTCCAAGTGACCACGAAACTGCACGTCACTCGATATGTCGACGCCGAGGATTCCGATACTGGCTGAGGCAACAAGGGGAGTGCCTTGAAACTGAGGGGATACGACAAAGGGGTTCTTTTTAGCGGTTAACGCGCAAACTTGTGTCTTCTGGGGGTTAAACTGGACTAGATTTAGTCGCCCCCAATCCGAGACTCTGTCCAGCAGAGACTCGACTTCAGACACAAGTTTGTCCCGGCACTCAGAGACGTTTTCCCGAGAAATATTTGCTCGGCCGGTGTAAAGAGCATCACCAGTGCTGTCATCTGCATAGCAATGAATGCTACGGGTTTGCAACATATCATTGATATGCAGAAGAAACAGCGTTGGCGATAGCACGCAGCCCTGTGGAACACCAGCATTAATAAGCTTGCAATCGGAGCTTGCACCGTCTACAACGACCTTGATGCTCCGATCTGCAAGAAAACTGGTGATCCAATCGCACAATTTCTCGGGAAGCCCATAGGAAGGGAGCTTCGAAAGAAGCGCTTTGTGCCAAACCCGATCGAAGGCCTTCGCAATGTCCAAACTAACGGCCAATGCCTCCCCCTTGGACTCTACTGCCTCCGCCCATCTGTGAGTTAGGTAGACCAGAAGATCACCAGCTGACCTACCACGGCGAAAACCGTATTGGCGGTCACTAATCAGCTGGTGATCCTCAAGGTACCTCATGAGCTGGCAGTTTACAATGGACTCCATTGTTTTGGAGAACAAGGAGGTGATGGCGATAGGCCGGTAGTTGGACGGGTCTGAGCGGTCGCCTTTTTTTAGGGATCGGGTGGACGAAAGCCGTCTTCCATGATTTTGGGACTACGCCTAGGGAGTAGGAGTACCGGAAAAGACGCGTTAAAACCGGTGCCAACTCTGGAGCACACGTCCTCAGCACAATTGGGGGGATTCCATCAGGCCCACTCGACTTATGGATGTCCAGGGAGAGGAGTGCTTTGCGAACCGAGCGCTGAGTAAAGTGCACTTCCGGCATGGAGCACTCACACCGCGGGGTGGTCGGCGGCGTACTCCCCCCGTCATCGAGAGTCGAGTTAGACGCAAAGAAAGAGCCTAGAAGATCGGCTTTCTCCTTTGCGGTGTGGGCCAGTGAGTCGTCCTCCCTGTGCAGAGATGGAAGAGATGGCTGACAGAAATTCCCCTGGACAGCCTTGGCGAGAGACCAGAATGCACGGGTTCCAGAAGGAAGACGAACTAGTCTCTCGCCAATTCTGCCTATGTGCTCTGACTTTGCCTTGGCAATGACTCTTTTGAAGGACCTAGAGGCGGAATTATACTTCTTTTTTAGAGCGCTGGTGTTTACATCCCTGGACGCTGATGCGTCAGCCCAGGCTTGGTAGCACTCCTGCTTATAGCATGATGCTATTTTACAGGAGCGACCAAACCATGGCTGGGATTTGCCTCCAATGGGCACCACAGAGGAAGGAATAAAAAGTTCCATACCCTGAAGTACCACATCAGCGACAGAATCCGCAACAACGTTGGGATCATCCGGCGAGAAGCAAACCCGCCCCCAAGGGTAGGATGCAAAGAAAGACCGCATCCCATCCCAATCGGCTGACCTATAGTGCCAAACACGGCGGCAGCCTGCAAAATGCAACCGCGATTTCAGCGTGAGTGGCACCACACTCCGGACAAGACAATGGTCCGAGGAGCCTAAAGGGGCGTCGACGGAAATCTGATATCCGTCCGGGTGAGAGGTCAGCAGAAGATCCAACAGGGAAGGTGCATGATCCTCCACATCTGGAATCCGCGTAGGCGAAGTAACCAGTTGTGTCAGACCATATGCCAAGGCAAAATCATGAACAGATCTCCCCGCATGATCGGTTAAACGTGAGCCGAGCCATTCGGCGTGATGGGCGTTGAAGTCGCCGAGGATCACGATCTCTGCGGAGGGGATCTGCTGTAGCAACGAATCTGCAGCCATTTGGACGTGGTCGAAGAGTCGGTCTGTTTCGGCATTACCGCTATGGGACCTATAGAGGCACCCGTAGACGCGCGGATGGTCGTCGCTGTCTACGCGTAGCCAAAGGATGGACAGGTCCGAACCTTCAAGTCTGCCGAGGCGTCGAGAACAGATGTCCTCTCTGACGTAAACGCAAACTCCAGCCCGAGGCACAAAGGAGTGTTCCAGTTTGTACCCCGGGCAGGAGAGATACGAGACATCAGCCGGAGAGGACACCTGCGTCTCGGTCAGAAAGAGCAGAGCCGGCCTCGCCGTCTCGAGATGGTAGTGGACGGCGTTTAGGTTAGAGTGAAGTCCCCTGATATTGCAGAAATTCACGGACAGCGTGGCAGGGGTCGCCTTGGCCTTGTTGCTCCGTTTGCCCCGAGCAGTTTTAGTCTTGAGCGGAATATTGCCCCCCCCCCAGAATACGCGGGGCAGCCTGAGCACCCACGCTCAGAAGTGGAGAAACATGGTCGTGGATGCTCAGCGAGGGATTCTCCAGGGGTGCTGGTACCCTCCTGGGGTAGTCTATCATTTAATTCCGCTACCATGTTGATGGGGGGGGGGGATTTGGGCCTCCGGCCACCTGCACTCACCAGACGAAACGCGGAAGCAGAGCTTCCACTTCACGCCGGTATTCTGTGAGGTCGTGGTACCACCCCGGTTTGAGCCGGCCCATACGTGCGACAGCAAAGCTGCCGCGTGGCTCTACCACTGTTAAAATCATCAAAAGATATTGTAAAATATTTTAAGACTATTGATATTAAGAGAACCGCCGATCTGTGGGGGATTTCTGTTAAAGTTATTGCGTCTATAATAGATACAATTGCACCTCAACGATCTATTATTTTTAATACTAGTATCGAATCTGGTGTGTTTCCTGATTTAATGAAGCATAGTAAAGTAATATCTTTATTTAAATCTAGTAGTACATTTGACGCCGCTAATTTTAGACCTATTTCTATACTGCCAATACTTAGTAAAATTTTTGAAAAAATTATTCTTGATCAAATGTTAATTTTTTTAATGTAAATAATTTACTTCATAAAAATCTATTTGGTTTCACAAGGGGTCGCTCGACAACTGATGCTGGTGTTGAGCTGATTAAATATATATTTGAAGCATGGGAGAATTCACAAGATGCTTTGGGTGTATTCTGTGACATATCCAAAGCCTTCGATTATGTTCACCATGAAACATTAATCAGGAAACTTCAACACTACGGTGTAAGAAGCGATGCTCTTAAATTAATTATTTCATATTTAAGTGACAGAACGCAAAAAGTTGTCATTAATAGTATGAGTTCTTCCGGGTCGATTGTACAAATGGGCGTGCCTCAGTGCTCAATTCTCGGCCCCTTTCTGTTTCTTGTATATATTAATGACTTACCTTACATAGTAGGGGATAACCATGACATAGTATTATTTGCTGATGATACTTCATTAATTTTCAAATTAAAACGACAGTTATTAAATTACGACGAAGTAAATAATGCTATAGCTAAGTTAGTCAATCGGTGTGATGTTAATAATTTGCATTTGAATGGAACTAAAACTAAATGTACGAAATTCGTAACTCCTGATGTTAAACATGTCAATACTAATGTAATTTTACATGGGGAAGGAACTGGGTCTTGTTGATATCACCATTTTTCTTGGAACCATACTGGACGCAAAGCTTCAATGGGTCCCCCATATATCAAAACTAGCTTGCACACTTAGTTCTGCAGCATATGCTGTAAAAAAGATTAGAACTCTTACCAGTGTTGTAACAGCTAGAAT